TTTGGTCATTTATTTGGGTTGAAGATGCTTTTCCGCTCAGAGACTTGGTTTGTTGTAACGACACAGCAGAACATGCACCTCCTCCTTAGAGTCAATATATTTGGAAATGCAGGTTTGAAAGACAAAAAGAGGTCAGAATGGGTAAATTTTGAAGTAGAACCTTTTACTCTAACTAAAAGCTTGTTGCTTGCTTCATGTATAATTGAAAACTCTAGATTATCCTAAATATTTGAAGATACTAATGGGTTTAAGTGAATCTAAATGCAAGGGATGTCAGCAAAAAGCATTTTCTTCTTCACTTCTTCATCTGATTTGGTTACTTGCCATGCTAGACTGCAATGGGTTTGTATTTGTGGCCTAAGGTTTTTCTTGCACTGCAGCTTTGTTACATGCCCTCCATTATGCAGAAAGGCTTGCAGTCCTCTGCAGGGCCATTTTCATCATATAAAAGCCTGAAAATTATTGACATAATGGAGGTTCCACTGTGCCACTGTAGACAAGTCTAATATACAGCAGTACGGTCATGCTAATTCTGGCAACTGCCTCCATTTCAGCTTTCTTGGGGCATGTCTACACACCCTAGCCGAGACTATCCCCCACCTGCTCCATTCATATGCTGTACCACCCAGCTGCACTCAGTTCTTGGCAGGGAGTCAAGTGGCTGCATTAGGCTTGGTGCTTTGCTAAGCCTTGAGTCATGAGGAGAGTTGCATAAATAAAAACGACTCTCCTCTTCTGTTTATCATGATCATCTTGTGCATCAGGGTGTTCTTGAGACAGGGCTTATTTGCTCAGTGCTGTGCTAACTCACCCTACAGTCAGTGAAACCCTATGGTTTCTGGACCAGAGCTGATATGCAGATGGGTGAGGCACTCAGGCCATAGCAGTGCACATCTGACTGCAAAGCGACTCCTAAGTATTTCTTTTTCTTTATTCTCTCACTCATGAAGAGGACAAAGTTCCTTACAGATACTCCTTCCATGGCTTGAAGAAAAAAGGACTTAAGGGAATTTCTTTTAAAAATAGAATATGAACAACAAAAATTTTGTCAAATGGGGAGAACAGACTTACTGACCAAAAAATCTTCCTTCTTTAGATAAAACTTACTAAGGATTCTTCATAAAATTTAGTTAGGGGAAAAGAGCTCTCAGACAATTTCCATTTGTAGTATGGGTATACCCATTTGTATGGGTAATAGGTTTTACTTTTAATATTAGACATATTTCAACCATTTATTCTTTTATGCTTAGATATGCTTTTAGTGTGCAGTGTATCAGCTTGGATGTCCACATACAATCTGACATGGAAGAAGTCTTACAGTCTGAGTGCCAGTAAAACAGTGTACCTATCACCCATCTTAGATCTCTAACGATGACAAGAATTCAGACCCAGTTTGAGAAGCCACAGTTTTTAAATAGCTCACAAGGAAAGGTATGGATATCCAGCAGGGATTCAGAGCTCCTGAGCTGGATGCTTAACTTCTAATTAGTGAAGCTCTTTCTGTATCAGATCAACCTTTATGGAGCTGCAGGAGTCTGAGTTCCACAAGTCTGCCTGGGAAGATATGCATGGTTACAATAGATGATTGCATAATTAAGAACTGCAGAGCATCTGCAAGAACTCTGAATGTATTATTCTGATTCTGCAAAAACTTACGTGTAACTAAAAGATACTATTTAAATCAATGTACTTAGTTTTAAGTATGGTGAATATGCCTGTTTGCGATCCTGTGATTCAGCTAAGGTATCTTTGCTAACTGTCATTAAAAATGCACAAATTAGCAAGAAGATGTCAAAGTAACTGATAAGTGGAATCAGTGTCTGGAATGTTGTGATAAAGAGAAGTCCAATAACAACTGAAAGCTGAATTATCCTATTGGTGAGACTAAAGCAAGAGGTGCATAAAGCTTTTCAACTCTAACATAGTAAATATGCCATATGCTTTGAGAAAGATTTCTTGTTGCTTCTGAATAGTCTTTCAAAGAAAAACCTACATTCAGCCACACAAGCAGTTTCTGAAATCTGTCATAATGCAACTTTTCTCTTTAAGTGAGCTCATACACTGAACATGGTGAAGGAGCTTAAGTTTTCGAAATAAAAAAATCAGTCATGGTATTTGTGGTACTACAAAACTCAAATGATTAAAAGGAGTTTTGTATCAGGAGTAAGAAAATCAAACCCACACTGCTTTTTACTTTCCATAATTTACATTTATATCCATGTTTTCTTGGACTGAATTCACATGTAAAGCTTCAGTGTTTTTCAAAACCAGGTATCAGAGGAAAAGAATCATCAGTACCAAAAAATGCAGATAAAATATTTGCAGCAAGCTTTAAAGTAAATGAAGAAAATGAACTGGGGTATTCCATGGTGTCATAATTTGTTGTTTGCTTTAAAAACAAATAAAGGAATCACAAAGGAATCTGGCAGACTGTTACAGAAGTGATGGGAATAGTCCTGCTGCATCTCCCAGCCCTGCTTGCATAAAGCTGCTGCAAGAAATGAATAGGTTCAGGCTCCCCAGTCCTAGGGAATTAAAAGGTCAAAGATGACAGTTGCTCTTTCACATGAGAATAAACCAGGTCAACACTTACAGCCAGATCTTGATTCAAACTTAGCTCTCACAGATTGGCAAGAATTTTCAATGTGAAGCTGCAGTTCTTCAAAAACCCAGTTGTACAATCCAAAGGAGAAAAAAAATGGGTTTTACAAATATAAAAAAGATGTTGTAGACAACAAAAAAACTAGTTCAAGCTGACAGGACAAAAAGGAATGTATTCACACTACAGGAAGTGTATTTCACATTCAATGACAGAAAGAATATTCTAAATTAAATACAAAAAATGGGAGAACAGGCAAACAAAAATCTTCAAGAAAGAATTCTGAAACTTGACTATTAAATATTATTAATAACTACTTCTAATCCTCTCAACTGTGTAAAGCAGGTGGCCTCATGACCATTCAAAATCTCATCTAGTTTTGGACTGGGCTAGCACAGTATATGTAATGTAATATCCATAGAATAGAATAGAATCATAGAATCATAGAATGGTTTGGGTTGGAAGGGACCTTAAAGATCATTCAGTCCAACCCCCTGGCAAGGACACCTCCCACTAGACCAGGTTGCCCAAAACCCTGTCCAACCTGACCTTGAACACTTCCAGGGAGCGAGCATCTACAACTTCCCTGGGCAACCTGTGCCAGTGTCTTACCACCCTCACAGTGAAGAATTTCTTCCTAATATCTAGTCTAAATCTATCTTCTTCCAGTTTAAAACCATTCCCCCTTGTTCTGTCACTACCTGCCCTTGTAAAAAGCCCCTCCCCAGCTTTCCTGTAGGACCCCTTCAGGAACTGGAAGGCTGCAATAAGGTCCCCTGGCGCCTTCTCTTCTCCAGGCTGAACAGCCCCAACTCTCTAAGCTGGTCCTTGTAGAGGAGGTGCTCCAGCCCTCTGATCATCTTTTCCTTTGAAAATTAATTTCATAAAAGCAAAAGCAGAACTGAAAATACTGTGCATACTACTTATTACTATTTCCAGTCACAAAATACCAGTCTGTAGAGAAAGCACTCCAAGGACAAGCAGCTGTCCTGCTCAACTAGAGGGAAAAATACTACAAAGTCATCATCTTTCTCACAGACATAAAAAGTGCTGGAGAAACTCTTGACTTTTTAATAAACAATCAATGTCTCTGGATGTTACTTATATTCATCAGTTATACATTTTTTTAGGCCCTCAAAAGGCAGACTTCTTTACTTTAAATAGGCCTGAAGTGTCCGCTGTTTTTCAGATTATGCACTTGGTTTGGGGAATTTTGTGTGCTGGGGAGAAAAACTCTTCTGTCTTGTCCAGCATGGTTCTGCCCTGGCTTTCTTCCCTGCCTGTTGCTACTGTCCAGTACTCACAATGTCCATGGATCACTGGCATTTCCTTCAACATGCATGTTTATGATTTCTAGGTAGACATAGTATCCCTCAGAAACCGCCAGTCATACTTACTTGGTATACTTAGCTACAGTGTCACCCTTGTCTGTAACTTGGGTGGAAAAGGACTAGTGTATTTCATAAATAGCAAATACTACAAAATATTTCATTAACTCAAATAATTTCCTTTTTATAATTAGGAGCTGTGAATGCAAGTTGCATGTACTGAGCATTTAAGCTTACCTAGTTTTGCTACTCTGGAATATAAATCAAGAGAAAAGTCAGAACTGCTTCACAAATGTGTACACTACGTTTCATGGTGGTTTTTTTTTTTAAGAAAGCAGCAGACCTTATTATTTGTACATGAAAGTAAAATACCACAGATATCCCACTACTGTAACTCCAGTCTACACTAGTTTTTTATAAAACAGTTTTTGGCAATATTGCTAAATCTTGCTAAGCTTAACTGCATAGCAGAAACCATGTGGATTATCCAGACTTAATGTATACAGAACATTGTGCTGCCATCATGCAACTGTGTATGCTATAACTCTGTGTGCTAGTCATTCACTCCAGAAACACTAAGCGCGAAAAACAAAGTGGAGAAAGTAGCAATCTAACACTTCCAAAACCCAAATAAAATTAATGGGAGATGTCCAGCTTGAAAGTGACTCTTCTGTCTGGACATACTTACCTGGTTTAATTATGAGACTCTGCATAAATGAACAGGACTTTACCTGTGCTTTCTGCATGCCAGTAGCTTTACAAATAGTCAGTTTAAAAGATCTTTGCCATGGGCATTGCATAAATAATTTTATATACATAAGTATATATGTATATATATTATCTATGTGTGTGTATACAAATGGATGTTAAACAAAAGCCCTAAGATTTAAAAAACTCATAGTGTACTTCATAACTTACTTTCTAGGATAAACTATATTTTTAATTAATCACTTCAGAAATCGAAGCTGTCAGCGACCTTTTAAAATGACTATACATACACAGCACGCTGTTAGTTGAATATTAATTTTTTTCCCCCTCCACTGCAAGCAAAGTTTAGAGACTTAGTGTTCATACTGAGAGATAATTATTAAGCTTCAATTTAGTTTCTTAGAAGTTTATAATTAGGCCTTTTGATTGTGAGCTTTGTTTAGTCCAAGTAACCAAGCAACTATGCAGAAATTAACCTTTTTATTATGTTATATACTGAAGTAGTAAAGTTTGTTTGAAGTGCATAAATAAAAAGTTATTGAAGTAACAGGAGGAACAATCTAATATAGCAATAATAGGTGCATTCAATATGCATCTGAGAGGAGGAGGGGGGAAAAAAGAGTTTTCACTCATTTTGGCCTAGAACATGTTCAGGTTTCCAGGATTCTGACATCAGAACCCAGATAACACTGGTTAGAACCATAGGGCTTTACAATAAAAGCTAAAATACTGACCATATGATGGCAAAAAGTCTTTATTTTGTGGTTAACTTATTATTTTCTAGCTACTCTCTGATGAAGTTGGTGGTGCTGTGGAGGATGATCTCCTTCTTCTTGACAAAGATCGTGATCGTTCAGCACTGTAAGCAACATGTTTATCATAATTTTGTATCTGAGCCTCGAGGAAATCCCTCTGCTGCTGGCTGATTGTCTGGCTAATCAGTCCAGGGAGAGCTTGAATGCTACCAATTAAAGTTTCCAGTTTAGTTTCCAGAGTAACAATTCTCTTCTCAAAATCTTCACTTCTTTCATTTAAGTCAGAAATCATGTCATACATGATGTTTTGAGTCTGAAAGTAGAAGGATGTAAACAAAGGTTTAGAGAGATCTTACAAAGATTGTAACAAGCAGCACAAATCTACAAGGGTTTGTAAAAAATGCGTATGAACATTATAACAATATCTAGTCTTGTGAAATAATTTTCCTTGCAGATGCAGAATAAACTTTCTACTAAATTTGTTGAGTAAAAATTTAATATATTTTGAGTAGCACTTTAGATGTCAGGGTCTAAATGAAGTAGACAAAAGACCAGACCTGTTTTGGAAGTTCAGGTGCTTAGAAATGCACCATGCTAAGCTTTGTGAACAGTCAGTTGTATAATTCACCAGGAGACCAAAGGCTCCAAAGCTGTGATCCATCCTTGACTCCTCTGTATTTCCTCTGGTTTTAAGCACCCTCATTCTTCTAAGCAGAACACAGATGTTGTTCATTTGCTTTCTCCTTAAACTGACCAGATTTTCTTCAACTGGCTGTAGTAAGAGTATTCAGGTAAATTGTTTTTAAAATGTAGTGCAAAGACAGAAAACTCAGTTGTATGCTTCTCTACTTCTGCATTCCCCAGTCTATCTGCCCTATACAAAACAGTGTTTGGTTACAGCAAATAAATAGGCTGTACTTTAAAATGCCACAGTGGTCAGTAGAAATATAATCGGAAATGTGTTATTTCATAGAGACTTGCACTGGTTAATAATAACAACTGAATTTCTTCCTCTAATAGACTGAGACTTCAGACCAGATGTGAACTAGAGTCAGAAGTGGATGTAATTCAGAAGACAAAATGGTTGAAGTTTGTAAACCATCCAAAGGGAATGAAAATTAATTGAATGAATGACTGCCTGAAGTGTAAAGGATTTCAGTATCAGATGAGTGTCGGTAATCCATTTGTCTGCCCGTTTCAAGATGCTAGCTTAACCCTTGAAAACAAAGACGACTACATTAAATAGTATCTGAAAAGTATTTATCAGCTATGAGAAGCATTAGACTGAAATACATTTTCAGCAAGTTGTCAGGTGTTTCTTCAAAGTAAAAGGAGAATGGACACTGAAAAGTTTAATCATTGCTTTGATACACTTTAAATTGAGGAGGGTTTTGAGGCATATGAAGAGGTTTATAAGAAAGGCTTAGGAGAAGCCCACTAATGCCTCTAATGTAACCTCAAATTAAGGTAAAAGGAACTCTTAAATACTGAGGTCTAATGTGAAAACCAGAATGCTCTCAGCTCAGCCCTCTTACTCTCCAGTTATTATTTTATATTAATGAAAATTCCCAGCAACAATAGACAAGTAGTTTGCAACTGAATAGCCTCTCCTAACTCCCCTCAAATGGTTTAAAAAAGATTAATAAAGCTTTATGAGATAATGGCAAAGTAGGCAGCTATTATTCATTATGAAAACTTAAACAAGTGTAGACCTTTACTTGTTCAAAGTCACTGCTGCATAAGACAACAGGAATAGAAAACCAGAACTTCCAATTCCAGTCTGCATGAGAGTCTGTGTACTATGGTCCCTCATGGCACAGTCACTATCACCAGACAGGAAATCTCTTTACTACGCAGCACTAAACTACTATGGCCCACTCACAGTTCATCATTTACCATGACCACTGCAGTCACTTCAGGAGCTCTCAGGATCAGCTTCTCAATTGTGAAATCTTTTTTCAAATGTACAAAAATATAAAATATGGTGCATTCAAACTTTGGTCACAGCCATGAACAATGGTTCATTCAGTAGGTGTTATGACAAAACAGAAACACATTTTCATTTTCTACAAATAACAAACCTGTTAACCATATTTGCATGTATAATACGTAACATTTTCACTTACGAACTCTTCCTTTTGAAAGGATGAAACAACAGTAATTGTCTACTAACCTTTGCCAGGTCCACCAAAGTGTTGGCTTGATCATTCAGTTTCCTTTGCTCCATTTTTACACTTCTTAATCTAAAAAGTGGAATTTTAAGTCAGATTCTTTTGTGTCTGTGGTCATATTAGGATTTCCAAAAAGCATGCACAAAACTTACAAGAGCAAATAACTGCATGGACAATGCCTTGAGTACTTTGTGTAAAGTCAGAATTGGTCATGTGCCTGCTACAATGAGAAGCATGCTTCTTCAACACCGCAAAAAAGGAGAGAGCAAGGAAATGTGATGTCCTTGAGAATACCATTTGCCATGGTCAAAGTTGAATTCAAAAAGGGAGATAACAATTTATCCAAACTATATGAAAGAAAGCCAAAACATTCCTCAAAGCCTCAGTATCGTGACAAGTAGATATAGGAAGAAACATAGAACAACTTTTTTTTTTTGCATTAATGTTGTAGCAATCAAGAATCTTCCCATGCCTACATGACTAGATACAGGAATTAGCCCTGTTCTGTCGGAAATGGATTGGGTTAGCAGGTGTTTGAACCTGATGGAAATACAGTGATAAGTGAGTTTCTCATTACTTTAAATAGAACTTCCATCTGATCAGCAGCTAAATAACCAACACACTTGCCAATACATTTAATTTTCTTAAATAACTTGTGAATCTAAATATGATTACATTTTAAACTTACATTAGACATTCCTTTCCAATGTACTATTTAAACTAGAGCATTGAAAAACTATGAAAGATGCAACAAGGGTATATTTTTCTCTTTGATGCTTATCTATCTGCATTATTATTAGTTATGCACATTCTTTGAAAGATACATGCATGACCTTTCTTATGTGTTCCCTGAAATCCATGCTTATCAGTAACTAGACGACTGGTTTTTAGATGCAATTTTCACAAATAAGCAAATTCTTCCTTAACTACAAGTCATTTGTTCAACATCTCCCAACAGAGAATTACTTGGACTCTTCCAGTGGCTCTTCTAAGCAGGAAATAGCATTTTTTAAAACAACATATCAAACTGTAAACAATGTGTTATAACATGCAATCTACTAGTATGTCAAGGGCCAACAAAGCTAACCATTTGGTTAGCCGTCAGATGAGAATAAGTTTAACAACATTTTGAGGCAGGTGGGTTGCTAATGCATATTCTACCTATTTCTCAGTGACGGTGCTACTTAGAAAGTTTAAAGCAAGCCTTCCTGGACATCTTCCAAAACCAGGAGGTTTCTGCTCACAGCTTTAGTTACTGAGCATGTTCTTTCATATCTAGGATAATTGCCACGAGAAAATTTGTGAAGAGGGAAATATCTTTTAAAACACATGGAAATAACTCTGTTGAGGTGGAAATCAACTATTCATATAAATTGACATTCCACTGGCTTGTTACAGGATTGTCATAAGCTCTTCCTCCCCTGGAGGCTTCCTTCAGAGCACAACATAAGGTAAGAATGTAATTATTTGACTGGAGAATGATAATACTAGTGTTTCGGTGAGCATCTCTCAAAAAATGTTCAGAATATGTGTTTTCTGCTTTTCTCAAAGATTCATTGACTTATCTCTTTGCCAGTTAGTATGTTAATTTTAAAATTCCAAGCAGTAATTATTAATGTAACAATACAAGTACCAGCTGACACCAACATGATAATCCTCCATGATAATCAACCCAATACCTATCACAGACTGTAAAAATATGTCTCCAGGTAATGGCAAGTCTTTAGCTGCAGCAGCCAGATTTGAAGAAAACTGTCAGACTTTCATTCTTAAATTCATTAAGTGACAATATAAAACATCTTGATTTTATGAACTTCACTTATCACAGCAAAAGATCATGATTCTGGGTTGCATTTCCATGGCAGCAATCAGACCACTGAAGTTCACAAATAAAGACTCTATATTTTGCATGCAGACAGTGGTAAATTCTGCAAATTTAGAAAGGAACAGCTCATACAACTTACTTCCGAGCTCTATTTTCATTTTGTTGAAATAAAAAGACAAAACAAAAGAAAACAAACTGTAAAATATACTAAAACAACAGATGAGCACAGTGGGCTCAATTCAGTAGGTGGGAAGTCCTAGGGAGTTGCTAGTTCTTTCAACCAGTAACTGTCTGAGGTGGAATCTAACTCACTTGTGTTCATGACTGAGGAATTCGCAATAGCTTCAAACCTTCTCATTAACTATCATTTGTAGACTTTCTTATTCATACAATACATAGGGCTTTTTCATAATATCATTTAGAGTAATGATTTTACCTTCGTCTTATTTAGTGTGCATGAAAAGCAAAAAAGACCCAGACCAGTTGAAGGCAGCACAGCTGTGGATATTTTTAGATGTTTTAGAGCTGCAACCATGAGCTTGAGACTGTTACCATGAAACTGAAACTCCTGAAAATTCACTCCTTTTATTTCTGTCTCCAGTGAAATGGTTGAAAAGGCGAAGGAGGAGGACCAATAAAACCCAAGAATCCAGAAAGGTGGAAAAGAGCCATATACTACCAAGAGTCCCTTGAGAAAAGTTCAAAGATGCAAAGTGAGAAAAAAGAATTTGCACCTAGCTACTCTGCTACAGCTGAAAGCAAGCAAACTGCTGAAGCAATGGTTCCATTCTTCACATATGCTTCAGCATATTGAGAAAATTATCCTTTCATTTTTTTGCTTAAATACAGAAGTTTCGGGAATGGGATGCAATATGCTGAAAGACAGAGGGAAATGCATTATTAACATAGGTGTTCAATGTCTGGCTGGCATAGCTAGGAAAAAATTACTGCTGCCACCTTCTTCACTCTACCTGATTAATGAATTTTTAAGGCAGGTCCAGAACAACACTACAACACTGTGAAGCTCTCCTGGGCTTGAATGATATATAAAGCTGCAGATCAAGCCTGCTGTGCTTTTTAGATTCTTTGAACATGTTTGTGTGCACAGGCGCACACACACGCGCGCACATGACCACACACACAAACACACACACAAAATAAATAGCAAAATTAAAATGTTAAGGAATAACCTTTGCAATCAAGGACTCAAGTCCAGCAAAAGATGGGCAGGATATGCCACCCTCTATGTCAGAACCCCTGCCACTCTCTGCTTTCCAATCCTTTAAGAGAAGCAGAGTGACCAAACTGGGAAAATACACACAGAAAAATGCCTTGACTTTTACCATCTTTTTATTCCTTCAAGTATTTCTACAATAGCACAGTAACATTTAATCCTGCAAGTTTGCTAAATATAATACAGTAATCATGGCTTATAGAATACTTCATACCTTAAGATTAGCTAAGCTAAAACATCAGCGATGTTTTAAAACATCGCTATGATACAGAGAAACAATAACTGTTAGCCTAAATCTACTAATAGGAAACATGATAACCTGCCCTTTCCTTCCTGTGTTTCCTGTAAGATGACACAGTGTTCTTTCCATGATGAATGCTTTCCTCACATCTCCTCATAGGTTGGCTCAGACACAGACTCACACTTAAAAGTTATCAAAACATCAGTTCAAAATGAAACTTACTCAATTAATCTACATCTCCCCAGGATCTAATGGAAACTAATTTAATAGGCTGTACAAATAGCTGCCTCAGGCTGGATGGGGACATTGAAGAGAGCAGACAAATAGTGGCATGGGTCCTGCCCATTCCTCAAGATGAATCTGTGGTTCCTGGGGACAAAACTCTTTTTTTCTCCCATGTAGTCCAAGGAAGAGTAACTGAATCATTGTGCCATTCTGCTGGTTTCGATGTGCTTTATGACAAACACATATTATGAATTTTAGGACAATACCATAATTCAGCTTAATCCTACTACTGGTTACAGTTATCAGCTTGTTTTCAACCCCTTAAGACAGGGGAAGAACTCGTCTGAATCATGCCAGAGGTGCTTGAAAGTCACACACTGACTGTTGGCATATACTCCCACTTTCTACAACAGATGTCAGGGGTTATAGCTGATAAATCAACATTTGATTTTATGCACTGGAAATATATGGTAGGGAGAGGCAACTAATTGCCGCTGAACTGTACAATAATGCTTGATGCATATTCTTTTCATTAAACACTACACACATAACACATAGGGTTTATTCTGTCAAATCATTCTCATTTTAAATTATTAAAACATCTACTAAAAATGCAAGGTTTTTTTCATTTTCTTCTCTTTATTGTAGCTTGGATCTTATTACCTGTAAGCAAATACATAACAAGAAAGGATAGTCTCAGTGGCAAAAGAGAAAAGAAAGTTTTAGCTAATTCAAGAAGCATGGGAAACTCCTAAAACAGTATGAACAAGTTTGATTTACCCCATATTGGATATACACAGCTAGCAAACTTTTTTATTTCTTTGTAAACAGGCAACACAGTAAAACCATTTATTTGTCTTCCTCTTGTAGACAATTCAACCTCAAGAGCAAAGTTCTGGGGGGAGGAGGCATGGTGGGAAAGGCCAGGGAAGAGAAGGGCCTGGGGAGGACGTGGGGGACTAAGAGTGACTATGAGGGTGAGGGAAATTAAGAAAGAAAACACTTGGGGAGGAAAACCAAAGCAAAATAGTACTTACTGATGAATAGCTTGCAAGAATTTGCGTTGATGTTTCCTTACTTTTGCATGGTCTATCTTTTTAACCAGCTTTGTGTTTTTATAAATTAACCATGTTTCCCTGAGTACATTAGCAGCTGCATTTTTCACCTGTTTAATAAAAGAAAAAACACTGGGCTGACAAAAGTAGCATTAAGTCATGTTTTCTCTTTTCTGGTATAATCTCTTTCTAAAACATTTAAGACCCTGCCTAACTGGGGGAAGTGACTACATCAAGAAGCTGCAGCACTGAGGGCAGAAAGCAGTAACTGAACCAAGGGGACTGCTGAGCAATTTCTGTTACTTTTAAGCATGATGTTGGGACCAGCTCTCTTTGCATGAGCGAATAATTTGACCGTCTTTAAAGAGTTAGCACCATTTGATGTTTACGGCAATAAAAATTACAGTGAGGAAATACTAATGCATTATCTGGTTGGCAATTAACGAAATGTATTTAATAGGATCATAAATCTCTCTCCTTCTTGTTCTATGGTTAGTACCCCTTAATTCCCTTAGCAGTCTAACAGTCTTTTAAATTTCCTGAGCTGTTTGAGTACACTTTTTTAATCTTTTTTTTCCTCAAATTTTTATTCATGTTTATTACTATTCTCCAAGGAGATGAAAAAATATCTGGTCAAGTAATCTGACCAGAATTTTATTTCATAAATGCTTTGAATTTTATTTTAAATGAAGCTTTCCATGGTTAGAGTACCTAAAGTTCCTTCTTTGGCCTTAAAAAGTTTTCAAGAATGCTTGAAAACAACAGAGAAAGAATTTCAATGCAATGTTGATTAATGACAGAACTACTAGGTTACTTGCAAGTGAAAACTGTCCTTATTGCTCATCTTTATTTTCTGTCCCTCCAACTTTACATCATGCCAGTCATTGCAGCATCAAAGCTAAGACAACGTCTAGGCAAAGGTGTTGTAGGAATGCCATGCAGTAACTCTTCCCAGCAAGAGGTCCTCACCCTTGGTCCGGACTTCAGTGGAAGCACAATCACAGTTTGGAGACCTGCTCACAATCTCTATCTAGTCCTTTCATTTCCACAAGATATAGCTACCTTCAGGCTATGATGAAACCTCTTCAGTATCTGTGTAACTGATTTGTGACTTCCTGTGCATTTCAGATTCATTTGATTGGTTTGCTTCTCATGTGCTTTGAGTTTCATGAGTCTGAAGCTACCAAAGCGCCACTTGAATACAGTATTAGACTGATATTTAGATTTATATGAAGGATAGCTGAATAAAATAAACTTTAAAAGGCACAAATGAACACTAGACTCAAAATCTGGCCAATATTTACAAAACCTTTTTCTCTCCTGAAAGATATTTTGAGCTCAGTTTGAAGATTATACTAGAAAAGTGCCTGTATTAGCAAGGGCCAAATTGTTGTCTGTAGTCTACTATCAACAAGGCCTCAACTGTCTGTAATAAGAGTCTAAATCAACAAGCTCAGACACACACCTCAAGTGAGACATCCTCTATGCCTATCACTCATCTTTAGTCTTTCCCCACTGTGACTAATTAGGGGAGATATAGGCTGTTAGTGGTGACCATCATACAAACAAGGGAGCCAGAAGAACCAGAGCAGTATCCTGACGTGTCCTGGTAACACAGCGTGTAGAGAAATGACATGGCTCTCTGCAGCAGAGGAGCTGCACAGAGCAGTGCTGAGGCAGCAAACCTCCTTCCTCACCTGGAGTAGAGATGTGGTTTCCAGCTGAGATATCAACATCCCTCTTCACTACCCATGAATAAGTGGTGGGTTCCTGTTGTGAGTGTAAGGACCTTCCTTTCCATATTGGCTCTTCTCAATAATGAAGATTAAACAAGTTGAGAGGACTGTGTAGCACCTACTAATTTTCTTTTTCCCTCAACACTGGCATCTTTTATTTCAGTAAAGGATTTCTATTGCCTTGTATTTTATATTATGTCCTTTTCCAAGATGTAATTTAAATTATATTTCATAAGGAAAATTTAAAAATATGACTTCTAATGATTTCTAGATTTTTTTAAAAATAATCTCTTCTAAAAACATTATTATTAACAAACATCTTTCAAGGCACCTTAGTACTGTATGCAGCTAAGTGAACTCTGTGTTGAGTACACAACGCAATTGTCTCAGTCACAAACTAGACTTTTAAAATAGATCTTTTTTTAAGAACATTCTTCATAGCTTGAAATTCTTGTATATATCACTGATTACACCTATTTTAGCTACAAAAAATTTTATATCTTCTTCTCATATCCTGCATTAATTTTTTTAGTTTCATATAATCATCTTTAGTTTCACAGCATTTAACTGTTGGTTATATCAATTATCTTCCAGCTGCCAGGACCCTCTATAGAAAAACATTCAAATCCTCAAAATCTGCTGAGAACCTGCAGTTTCCCTCAATTCAGAGAAAAGCTCAAGGCATTTGACTCATCCTCCTTGCAAAATCACACTCATGAAAAGGTTCAGTAGGAGAATGGAGCAGGAGACTAAAACAAAGGCAGAAATAAATTAACACACATTTCCTATTCAGTTGTGAGTATAAAGTGTGACTTACTCTTTTAGTTAGCTGGGTGTCCATCATGAAATTATGCACATGTTTTTCAGCTTTGGTAAGTTCTAACTTCCTTGCCACCACAGCTACCACCAGTGCCGTGCACCCAGCACCCTGAAAACAATAAAACAAACCCCCAAGAAGTTACTACTGCATTTTGCAGAGTTTTTAGTGGAAGTTTCTTCTCTGCTGTAGAAGTATGGCAGGCATCAGGTGATTCATCTCTGGCAAACATAGTGAGCACGCTACAGTTATTTCAGTTCAGAGTAATAGGAAAAGTCAGTAATTACAGGCTGGTAAACTGTCAAGGCATCAAAATAATTAGTGAGAAGCATCATTTAAAAGTTCTACTTTTTTCCTGTACCAGTTGAAAATTTGAACACATCCTGTTTCTAGTGTATAAACAAAGAAGGTGATTAAAACAACCTTTAAAACCCAGAATATTAGTAAAAAATGCAGAATACTCTGTTCTTAACAATTATCTGAAGCTTACAGCAATTGCTAAAGAGGAAATAAGATCAGGTTAGTATTCAGCACACACACATAAAAGTTTCTTAGGATCTTCTCTAGAGCCTAAGAATAATCACATATTTAGTATTTAATCCCTGTTGTTCCCTGAGTCCTTCAATGACCTTTTCCTGTAGTATTTATGCTTATCATACTAACATCTAAAATAGAACACATACACAAGAACATTCATACAAAACTTGGATGGAAAAAATAGAAATTTTCTAATTTGTGCTCTGTATATGTACACATATGCATATATATATATACACACTGACATGCATATTCACAACAGGGAAAAGCCAGTTGGTGCCTGTCCCTTTGAAATGACAGTTCCTTTACCAGCATCACAAGTTAAAATGGTTTTTGGGAAGGGAGGAGGAAAGGAAAGGAGGCTAAAATGAGCCAGGTAATGAGAAGCAGCATCTATTACACACATCTAGACGTATCATTTACTTTACACTATTAATAAATTCTGCTGCTTCAGTCTTTTTTTTAATTAAATCTTTACAGGTTCTTTTTTAAAAAGTACAAAAATCAAATTAAATACAAGAGGCTATGTTTAACTTGCAAGTTCACCCCAGTCTAGTTGTTATTGGACCTGTGTCAGTTACTCCCCAGTATAAAGCAGTCTCTTGTTGCACACTGAAGCTTACCACATCTTCATTTGCAGAGCTTTCTCCTACTCTTTCTGTATTTCTCTCACTAATTTGCTCACTCTCTCTCTATTCCTCACAAGTGCCATACTCTTTCCAGAAAATCCAGAAGAAATCTCTGAATCTAGCTTCCAAAATACAAATTCCATTAATAAACACATAGAAACTACAAAATAAATTAACTCATTAGAAACCTTTATTCACACAGAGTCCTCAAAAAATAAATCTGCTCTCTCTGCTTACATACTGAGGCATCCAATGAATTTTGTGAAAGTCTCCAATAGTAAGAACAGGAAAAGAAAAGCAGACATCTTTTGGCCCTGTACATCAGGATAACTGGGGCCAGATGTAGATTTAATGATGTCACTTGAATTCTGTCTGCTTACAGCAAGAATGTAAAAATGGAATGAGATTATTAATACAGAGACCACTAGCAAAATGCCACAAAACAGCTGTTTATGCCAAGCTACTGGGGAAAGAAATATTAGGCCCCGCTTCCCAGCCACATCCCCATAAAGGCTAGAGGAATGGTGACAGACAAAAGGAATTTGGCCTAAGTTGAAATTATTGCAGCTTTTGCCATCCACTCTCATGCTTTTTCAGAGTGGCAGTTACAAGGACCAAATGCTGTTAAAAACAGTGGTTTTCTATCCTGCATGAAAAATACTGTCTGTAGCAGCAGAATACTGTCACCAGCAAACTATGCCAGCCGCCTCTGTAGCATATATGCACTGCTGTCTTCCTTATCTCCAGAGCAGCTTACTGCAACAGCAGGGTATTCTCAATTCAGGTTACTCCTCTTGGCTTTGTGGGATATGATAGGATCTCAGGATATGAAAATGAGCTCTTTTAGCATTTCTGCAAAAGAAGGAACTATTATACTATCTGCATGCTTAAGAAACAGTACCTTAAACTAAGAGCTTACAGAAATAAGATTGAAATTCCACTTAAGTATATGATGCTGATTAGTATTTTCTGTTGCAGTGCTCTGTACTATTGCTGCTTGGTCAGCAGCCTGATTTTAAGGGCACTTAGGACTTCCAGTTTGTCAAAATTTGAGAAAAAAGAGAATGAAAGAATATTCATAATGTTCCCTCATCAGTCCACTGCAGCTTTAGCTTTCATACATATATATATATTTGAAAGCCACCAACTTCCACTCCATTAATAGTCCATTCAAGGTGTGGCTAAAGTAAAAGATGAAAAAGCAAATGTCAAAGAATTAAAAAGCATCAGTTTGTGCTAGTTAGTAAATGTTCATAACTATGTACATCAGAACTAAAAGGCCTGACTTAAGATTATTACACAAGAATGAGAAAAAATGGACAAAAAAATTAATTAATTCATGTGGACTATTCAGATTTTCAGTGATTTCAGGCAAATTTGAAAAGCAGAGAATTCTGCTTTCACAGTTTCTCAAAATTGCAGAATTATTTTTTCTATGCATAAAAGTTTTGTATGTGTTCACACAAAATGAAGCATTAAACAGTTACATGCTGTGTGACAATTTAGACACAGCTGTTAAAAAAAACAGACACAAATTATTACAACACATATAGTGTAAGCAATTTCGGCAAGCCAAAGTTAAACTATATTGCTCAATTGCTTCATTTAAAGGAAACAGGTAATAATGGAATTAACCTTTCATTAACTTGATTTCTTTCAAGTACTCTGTTCCGTACTCTGCACTCTGTGAGTACTCAGTTGTGACCAGCGACAGGACAAGGGGCAATGGGTGCAAGCTGAAGCATAGGAGGTTCAACCTGACCATAATGAAAAACTTTTTCACTGTAAGGGTTATGGAGCACTGGAACAGGTTGCCCAGAGAGGTTGTGGAGTCTCCTTCTCTGGAGACATTCAAAATCCGCCTGGATGCGTTCCTGTGTGACCCAGTCTAGGTGATACTGCTCTGGCAGGGGGCTTGGACTGGATGATCTTCAGAGGCCCCTTCCCACCCCTACCATTCTGTGTGATTCTGTGATCAAGGGTTTGCCAGCAACCATCAGTTTGAAATGCTGATCTACCTGAATTTTTCTGTTTTCCAGAAAGCATGTGCAGGCTGAACAAACTTATCTACTAAACCAGGAGAAACCCTTAAAGATTACAAATTTTTAAAATGGACTTCTCTAAAACAAGACCATAACTCCACTGGTGAGCTGAGCAATGTCTATTTCCTATTTGCAAGGATCTGAAGAGAAAGCACACGAACCTTATCTTGAGTGCACAGTTTTTCTTGCTTGACATGAAATAGTGCATATTAGTCTTCAGTAAAAGCACAAGTCTGAAAACGACTTAAATGGCAGCTTTCCCTATCTGTCCACACAGTCTCTCCTCTTGGCACTTAGTTCTGAACTTTTGCAAGCTTCCTTTCATCTACTTTAACAAAACAAACTATCTCTTACTTAACCATATCAGAGATAGCTGCAACGGTTATTTTCTTTGTAATTTTTACTATGTCACTCTGCTCTGTATCCATCTATTCCCTTCTCTATGACATCACACATAGAACACTTGCCTTCACATGTAGTATTTTATGGCTCCAGGCTCTTCCATATCATGGATTGGAGCTCTACTAAGCCCTTTCAGACAAAATCACCTCTTGACTTAGGAAAAGATCCCTGGAAACACATACAAATCAAATACATAGTTTTAGGGTATTACTACAAAGCGTACCAAAACCAGTAAAGGTCCTTAAGAGTCTGGTGTGCTAAGATCACTTGTTTTGATCCTACATAATACCTCCTTGTTCCCCACTCCTGTTGCTGTACAAAGATGGTAAACTGTTCAGGAATTTGGACTATTTATTTCTACTGTCATACAGTACCGGTATCAATATGATCAGGTGTTAAGAGTACTGAAGTGCTACAGGAATATAACTAATAAATAAAGATGCTATGACTGTATGAACCATTTATACCACATACATCATAATACTAGACCTGATTTTATCTTTTTTCTCCTTCAGTTCCTGCTGTGGTTTGCTAAGATTATGTATCAATGTAGTTACTATATACTATACCAGCTGAGATGCCTTTAGAAGTCTAATCACAGTCCTCTGTTCTCTTCACTGATGCAGCTGACCTGTTGTTATCATCAGAACCACCACACCAAAGCAGACTAACTTAAAGTTATCACAGAGAATTTTACATTAGAGTAAACCACAGCAGACATAGCCATGGTAGCTAGAGGGAAAAAGCTCATGTTGCCCAAAGTATCCAATGAAGATGAGGCTATGAAGTCTGGAACAAGACCAGGCCTTTCCTACCTCTCACAAGGGTAAGACTGGTTCACACTGGTACAATACACAGTGATTTCAAAACTGCAGGGTTCAGGCTTCAGTAATGTTTAGCATTTACATCTAACATTCTGTTAAAGGCCCAGTTTTAGTAATAACTGAAGAGAGGTGCTCTCAACACTTCAACTAAAGGGTTATCTAAGGCAAAGAATGGTTAGCATTGGCTGGTAAGCAACAATAAAACCAGCATTTGCTTAGCAGAGAAATCCTGTAGTCTCTAGTAGTTAACGCTTCTGGCATCTCCTCTTCGTTCTTTCTTAGGTAAGATTCCCAAATACCTTCACAAGACAACAATGAAGTGAGCCATTTCTGCAACTGGAAGGTGCTGCTGGTGAGAAAGGAAGCAACACTGTGTATCAGCATCTCAGCTGAAAGTCTCCTGGCAGCTTTGGTTTACTGGACTGGAAGTGAAGTGCAGACTTTAATGCTGTAGTTGTCACAAAAATGTCCTGCTATACTTGCCTGTAGCTGAAAGAAGGCAGTTGCCACATTTCTTGCTCACTTCCCTTGGGTTCCACTGAGGGAGAGAGAAGGTCCGCTTTGCAGACATATGGTTCTGGTGGGAAATTTAGCTCTGCACCAGAAAAGGCACAACATTCCTCCTGCTGCTCTGCATAAAATGAAAATCCTGTGAGAATTTAAACAGGTATT